ACTACTACTACTACTACTACTACTACTGCTACTGCTACTGCTACTGCTACTGCTACTGCTACTGCTACTGCTACTGCTACTGCTACTGCTACTGCTACTGCTACTGCTACTACTACTACTACTACTGCTACTACAGTGTCACCCACATTGTGGGGGTGGGGAGGGGGGGGAAAGGAAGATATTCTCAAATCATAGTGTGTTACTTTTGGCGCAACTCGTCCGCTAACGCTAAATGGCCGAATATTGACATCCTTGAAACTGAAATCACGCTTAACGCTTTGCACGGTCCGCGGTCTAGGTCCTAGTTTACTCTTCGTACAAGAAGATGACACGGGATCACTACTTTTGGGACACACTCTATTCTAACTGAAAGGAAACAATTCCTCATAAGCTAAAACCGCAAATAAATAAATAGATTGATAACCAAAGCGGTTTTTTAAGCCGAGCAAAAATAATTATAATAAACCAAAAGGCAGGCTGCTTTTACAAACAACCAACAGAAAAAATTGATCTGAATCGTTTCAACAAACGATCATCACTGCGAGTACCACGATTGATCAAACCGTTAGATTTAACAAAGGAAAAAGAAAGAGGAAAAACTTATCCGAACTCTTCGTTGATGAAAAGATTTTCCAGATACGCAAGTGCGTCCTGGCGCACAGATGGCTACGGTGCCCCTAGGTTTGTTTCACCCCACCCCCCCTCCCCTCCCCCCCTCCGCCAAACCCTTTTTTCAGAACTCTCGTCTCTTTTCCTTTAACCTACAGTCTTGAGGGGGGGGAAATGGAAAATTTAGACTCTCCTCCTCCAAATTAAAGATGATTTTAAAAGTAGCGCGTCTTGGCCTTAGCGCGGCTTCACCCTCGATTTCTGGGATGGGTGGGGGGCGGGGTTGCTGTTCCATTTCTGTCTAAGATGACTAAAAAAAAGCCCAAAGGACAGAAAATAAAGCCCAAAGGACAAACTCCGCTAAATTATGATCGAGATGCTGTTGCTAAAAGTACCTGCTAATTTATCATGGATCACTGAAGCTGAAAAAAACCGGCGTTGCTAAAACGAGGGTAAGGGTAACACCAAGGGTAAAGGTAAGGGTAAGGGTGACGGTAAGGGTAACTGTAATTCCCTGTCATAAAGCATCATCTGGCATATTATTGGAACAAGAACGAGAAGTCCGAAGACTACAGCAAAGCTGATTTAAAACAACGTGTATTGTTTTTTATAACAATATTTCGGCTGGCCATACCAGCCTTCTTCAGGTTTAAAAATGTTATAAAAACCAATACACGTTGTTTTAAATCAGCTTTGCTGTAGTCTTGGGACTTCTCGTTCTTGTTTCTTTATATTATGGCTGATTTGATCTCTTTTCTAGAGATCCAACGTTTACAACTAGCAGGATCTTCTTCCACGGTTTTTGCAGTTAATTTAATCCTATATTATTGGAAAACGGTGCTCTTTAAAATGAAAGACTGGTCCAGGGCTGTTCTAATTTCAAGGTTTGGCTAGCTTTTGCTTTTCTGTTGCAGTTAAGTATATCCAACAACGTGACCGCAAATTAATTTTTTGCTCTTGAAAGACTTGAATAAAGGCATGGAGTCGTTGATCGTTCTCTGTACACTGAGGGACTGTTTATATGGGGATGTGGGACCCTGGGTTGGCGAGGTGATCCACAAAAGGGTTAAAAAGCAAACCACCTTTTCATGCAATCTTAGAACGTCCACAATTCCTCATGTTACAAAAAATATGCCCACAATCTTTCAGATATGTTTCATTTGGAGACGAGCAAACTGTACATCTAACACTTTCCCTAAAAAAAGGGCAATTGTATGGTCTTCAAACCGCGGCAAGTCCAAGACGTACGAATTGTAAAATTCAAAGAAATATATAGTATGAAGAAAACAATTTCGGGGGGGGGGGGGG